TTATTTAATTAATTGCATGTCTTTATTGCCTTTATTCAAAAACATAATTCATTATAAAAACATAAACAACATATATAATTTCATTAATTATATTATCTTTATTATCTACAATTCAAAGATTCCATACCTTCAAATTCATTAATTAATTATATTCACTATATTGTCATTGTCTTGTTTTTACAATATATTGTGATTAAATATCGAAGTTATAATACAAAATATGTTATATATTTATTTACCAAGTATTTTATACAAATATAATAAATATTAATATTTTTTTCAATACTTTCACATGATAATCTACGACACAAACATATGTAGGAAAAAATACTACTACTACTACCAAATATCAACAGACGCTTGCAAGATAATAAATAGTTTATAGTACAACTAAGACCTCAATCATATACACAGCAAGACAAATCTAAAACTTACTACACCATAATCTCATTGCATGACGCTGTCTTTTAAGCTACCATCAGTAATCCAATTGCACATGACACACTACGAATAAAAAAAAATGAGAACAAGTACTGAAGTTGAAGACAGTGACAATACTACCCAAAAGAGAATAAAAAAAGACTTGGAGAAATTAAATCGAAAGTAGTATTTATTTAGACTATCATTTTTAGACTAAGTATTTAGACCAACATTATTACAAAGTTGCAAACATTTATTATAGTGATAATTAAAATCAATCTCTTATATAATTTATCTTGCATTTATATATACTTTGAATTACTGTTTTAAATAAACAAAATCAACATTCAATTACCGAATTACTTATTTAAAAATAATCATTGGGCATTATTTCATTCGCGCGTGAAAAAAACTAGTATATATATAATGTATTAAATGTCCAAAGTGAGATTTGAACCCTTAAATATTTAATTATAAAGCAAGAGTTTTACTCATTAAACTATACCCACATTTGTGTTAATACTTATATTTGTATGCTAATAAAGGTATACATTTTTCATTAAATGTTGTACACTTCAATTATAATGGACAAAATTGTCCCTACTACATTCTTGTTAGACAAAAGTACCCTTACACCGTTATAACACCATTACTATTTAATTCTAACTTTCATAACTCTTATCATTATTATCATACACATATATCTTTTTTCTATTCTTTAATTATCATTTTATTAAAATAATTATATAATTACTTTAATTGTTGATTATATTTTAATTAAATTTCTATGAATGGTAAATCATATGTGTGTATATATATAGGCACGAACACATACCAATATATGTGACCGGGTACTAGACTAATATTATAGATATTTTATTTATTTATTGTAAACATAAAGTATAAATTATATCAAAATTGTTTACATTATTAATAAAAAAAAATATAAATTTTGTTCATCTCTATAGTTTTCAAATACGACAAGGAATTCTGAAATATAATTTGAAGTATAACTTGTAATTATTTGCATTTATCAAATTTTTAATGTTGGGCATAAATTTTCACGCATCGCACATACAAAATGCTAGTATTATATATCTAAAAACATAATAAGTATGAATGAAAGTTATACCCCTGATTTATGTCCGTTTTTTCCGTTAAGTTTTTTTGTACATTATGCTATAAAGGTTGTACATTAAAATATTTTGGACAAACATACCCCTACCATTATAATTTCCGTTATCTTTTCCACTATTGTTACCACGCACATGCATCCACCATATATTTTCTTATCTTCTTCATTAATAATAATATATACACATTAAATATTTGAGTTATATGTTAATTATTACATAAATATAAATATCAAATTTATAAAAATTATTTACAATATTATTATTATTTAGAATAATTTAAATATCTAAAATCTAAATAAATTTAAAATTTTAATATAATGTATTAATATTTGGCACCTATTTTTTGCGCATCGCGCATAAAAAATACTAGTAAATATTATAATAATTAATAATTTCAACTCCTCAAGTTCTCAAACCTCAACTCTAAGTCGTAAGTCCCAACATTTGGTGATTTAGTAATTCTTATTTTTCAAATATGAACAATGTAGATAGATGATTCTTCATCTTGTCATTAACAAAACACTTCAAGTGGCACTCCAAGTGAGCCAACTGACAATCGATCAGACAAAAAAGGAAACATTCAAATAGTGGACTTCCACAAAAACCGAACCGAATATCGAACCGAAACCAAAACCGATGCGAACTTTTTCAAACCGAACCGAACTCTATTGTTAAACCGAATTATTTATTTTTTTTTTAAAAAACCAAAACCGAAAAAAAAAAAATCGACCCGAAATCCGAAATGCCCAGCCCTATATATAGCCAAAGACCTTATGGACAAATATTACTTTGTAAGAGAATCAGCAGTACTAAAAGAAGTATATATATATATATATATATATATATATATATATATATATATATAAACTGTCCCTGCACCCAATACAAACTGTATTAAAGAAACAAAAAAACAAAAAAAAAACAGACTTCCAAATCCATCATAACCGTTCAGTGCCCTGATCGTACGCTCAAGATAAGTGCACATAGTTTTTATTTTAAGGATTGTTTTTACATGAATATAATTCTATATATATACTCATGATCAAATGAGTCCACACCTTCATATAAGTCCGTGTGAACAGATCAGGGTCATCGAATGTTTGAGATTAGATTTCGTCAACTGTGCAAGTGAAGTGCTAAGTTGACAAAATCTAAGTCATTGATTTTAAGTATTCAATGGCCAGATTTGTCCACACTGACTCATAGGAAAGAGTGGATTCACCTGAACAATGACATATAATTAATTAATTAAGAGTAAAAGACATTTTTATTCCTAGAGTTATAGTGGCACAGACAATTTTGGTCCTTAATAAAAAAATCAGACAATTTGTGGACACTCTTAATTATTATAACGAGGACAATTTTGGTCATCCGTCACTCTTCCCGTTAGATGCGTCGTGTGAGAGGGGGTATTTGCATCTTTTCATGCACCATCATCTTCATCTTCCCCTTGGCCAGAAAAGTCACCGAACTTGAGCGTGACATCTCCTTTCTCAGCCGCATGGGCATCGTCTTCATCTCCATCCTCGCAACTCTCGTAGCCGGCTTCGTGGAAATAAAGTGGAAGAACGCCACCGCCGCCCACGGAATAAGCGACAAGGCAGACGCAATGATTCCCATTCCGGTTTTCTGGCTGGTGCCACAGTACTGTCTGCACGGGATGGCAGAGGCCTTCATGTCAATCGGCCACCTGGAGTTCTTCTACGATCAGGCGCCAGAGAGCCTGAGGAGCACGGCGTTGTCATGGAGGACCAAACAATCGGCCACAAATTGTCTAATTTTTTTTATGGAAGACCAAACTTATTCGTGCTAAGTCTAGGACTAAAAATGTCTTTTACTCATTAATTAATTACAGAGTATTAGTTAACATTTTATAATATGACCGGGAATATTTGAGAACGAAGGTATGGGGTTGTTGGGAGTTAGGACTTGGGAGGCATTCTCAACCGAAACATTTAGAAGTTTGCTGATCTACTAAGCTTCCATTTTTATAATTTAATTAACTTTTGTAATTTGTTTAAATCACCACCATTTTTATTTTTTTATTTTTTTTATTATTGTCTTTTATTTTATTTTATTTTATTTTATTTTTTGCTTGAAATGAAAACTATATAATCCTTCAATCCTATTTTATGTGTATGATTCAGTTAACAAAATTTGGCTGAAGTTATTTTTTATTAAATATTCATAATGTTAAGTTTTGTATTATAAATTAGTATATAAAATTGAAACTTTATTATTAAATACAAAAAAAAAAAAAAAGCATAGAAAAAAAAATGCTTTGACTGAATAGGTAAATGAGGCAAATGGAGTATTATATTATATTATAATAGAATAGTAAATAAATATCATTATTACAACTTACAATAAGTATACATCCACTACAATGTAATAGAGCTAGTAGCATTCAAAAAAAAAGTATACATCCACTACAGCAAATTGCAACACCACTAAATAAACTAAAATACAAAACCAAAAACCCTACAATAATACTAATAATAATAATAATAATAATAATAATAATAATAATAATAATTTAATTGAGTTGAAATAAATAATATGTGATTTAATTCGAATGAGCTTAGTTCTTATTTTTAAGTAAGTATAAGGAAAATCTTATGAATTGAGTAATAAATATTGAAAAGTTTCCTTCAAATTAAGTTTGACAGTGGTTTAACTTTGAACTAGTTGAGGCTTAATTTTGTTATATTACGATTATGATACTTAAAATTAAATTTTAAAAATATAACTAGCTCACACTTTAGTAGTTTAATTTGATAATTTATAGATAACTAATAATTTAAAATAAAATTTGAGATAAATTATTTAAAATGTGTATCATAATAGTTAGAACACATTCATAGAGTAAGTTCGCTTATCTAAGATTTTAAGCAAAACTGTAAATAATACATAAAAAAAAATTATAGAATTCTTTTTTATCAATATACCTAAATCTTAAATTCATTTTTTTCCTAGTGATCAAGTTACCATTACTATAATAAGTGATTAATATATATTTGCCCGCATGGACAGCTCAATTGGTCACATGGGTGAAGTTTGTAAACAATGACCTGGGATTTAACCTTTTGGAACAACAATGATTAATATATATTTTACTTTTTATTGTTAAAATATTTCAAATATAATTATTAGACAATTAATCACGTTATAATAATATAAAATTTTAATACAATTCGGATCAGGTTTAATAAAATGGCAGAAGCTCATATGGCATTTTATTATTTTTGTTTTTTTATGATTTTGTAATTTGGTGATATATGTTTTTAAAAGTTTTTTTTTTTTTTTTTTTTTTTTAAGAAATGGAGAGAGGAGGCGAGTGTATGACACGCACATGATCAGGAGCGTGGGTGTGTTACTAGATGGAATCCCATCACGATTTAGGTGGTTTCTGTACAAAGGAAAAGGAGGCGTATCCTTACGTTTTTCTGGTTGATTTTAGTTTTTGAAACCCAAGCAAATGTTTTCATTTTCCCAGAATGCCCTCGTCACCCTTGCTTATTTACTGTTTTGCATTTTCCCCCAATTTATACTTTCCCCTCACAATCAAACCCTAGAAACCCAAATTCATCTTTGGAGCTGCGTTTATACAGGAAGAAACCGATCGACAACTCAAAGAATCATTATTTATCAAGATATTTAACGGAATTTCAAGGAAAAAGTGAGTGATTTTTTAGAATTTGTGTTTTAATTTTAGGATTTTATAACCCTAATTATCCAAATTCTAATCTTTGATTGATTAATTTCTTTCAGCTCTTTTTTATTTTAGACTCGAATTTTTTTGTTGGATGTCTATTGATCACATTTTAGAAATTTTTAGAAAATTTTTACTGTTCTTAATGATTTTTTAAACTGTTTTTTTCATTATTTATAATTAGTTTCATCACTAATTAACTTTTATCTGAGTTCATTCTGATCATTGCTTCTTTTTTTAATGCAATTTTTCTAAGTATGAAAATTTGATTATTTATTGACGCGGTTGTTCAGTTTTGTTTGCCCAGTAATTAGTAATTACAGTACTTATTTGTGCATTTTTCCATCAAGAAAGGAATTCTTTTGCTCTAGATGTTTACCTTTGTTTGAAGGTTATTATTATTTTTTCTACCTAAGTTCTTTTTTTTTTATTATTATTTTTAAAATTTCCTTTTTGAATTAAAGTACATTTTTGGTTAAGTCTATTCCCACTTTTTTGTTTTGACCGATATTTTGTATGGGCGCAAAAAAATATGTACTTGCTAAATTCTTTATGATTTGAGATTCTGGTCCACTGCTGTGATTGATTCATAGAAATCTGCTTTTAGATTACACAAGTTTGTTCTGATCTATCTTTATCAAGAAACTGAATATGTTTTTTTTTGGTGCTACAGTGATCTTGTGAAGGAATTTCCTCTACTGTTTCTTACAGATTTCTGTTTGTTTATTTGTTTGGTTATGATCAGGTTTAGTTTGAATTGGAGAACCCCTGCCCTAATGAAGTTTAAAAGAGGAAGCAAAGTGGAGGTAATGGACAGAGCAGAGGTGCCAGTCTCATGGCGCAGAGCAGATATATTGTCCGGGAATGGCCATACTTATACTGTGAGGTTTGATTCCGCTTCCCCAGTGAAAAATGAATCAATGGTGGAAAGGGTATCAAGGAAGTTTATTAGGCCTTGTCCCCCTTCAGTGCAAGGTGGAGAGAGTTGGTTTTGTGGGGACATTGTTGAGGTGTTTAATGACTATTCATGGAAAGTTGCCATTGTTGTCAAGGTTTTTAGAGGAGATTACTATTTGGTGAGACTAGTTGGGTGCTTTCAGGAATTTAGCTTTCACAGAACAGAAATGAGAAGCAGACAATGTTGGCAGGATAACGAATGGGTTTTGATGTCTAAGGTACTTTCTTCTTATTTGACCAATGCTCATATTTAGAACTAGAGTTGTGTCTTTACATCAATCATTGAACATTCAGTTTGCTTGTTGGTTGAATTTTATTAAGTTTCTTTTGTAATGCATTTTAGACCAGTGTACCCATCTCCAATGTTATCCGTTCTTTAAATTTCTTTGCAATTAGATGTGTATATATCAGAGCCATTCTGATCTTGTATTGTTTTGCTTTTATAGGGTAATGGAGAATGTCAACCTGTCAAATCTCAGAAACTGTCAACTTCTGATTTTTATCAAAAGATGAGCTTCCAATTGCCACGCCCTGATCCTTGGGCTAAAACTCAAGATGACACTAGATTTCAAGACTCTCATGTAGTCTCTGCAAGATCTCTGAAGAGGATGTCTCCATACTGCTCTTCTGCTGTTGAAACACACTCTGGAAACTTCCAGAAACTAAGAATTGTGGAGGCAAATGGACCGAAACGGAGAGTAATTCCAGCACCGTTACTGAAAAAGGTAGATGATGTTGCTTGCCAAAGAAAAACTCTAGGTGAGAAAAACATGCATGCTTCCTTTAGTGTTGCATCAAACAGATACAATGAAATGGACAAAGCAAAACTAGATGGTGCCCTTTGCTGTTCCCATATGAGAAGCTCAGAATCTAGTGATTCTGATAGGGATGCTAGCTCTGTTGGCAGTTGTAGTGTTACTAGTTCTAGTGCAATTAGGTTCAATTGTCATTCAGTACCCGTTCCTTTTCAAGTGTCAGATGCCCCTTGTAGTGATGCTGAGTCAGTTTACCGTTCAGGTGATGAGGAGGGAAGTAATCCTCCTCTAGAAGAGGATTTTGCAGAAAGTATTCATAGGTTAGAGTTGCATGCTTATCGCTGCACTTTGGAGGCACTGCATGCTTCTGGGCCCTTAACTTGGGAACAAGAAGCATTGCTCACAAATCTCCGCATTCAACTCCATATTTCTAATGATGAACATTTGATGGAGTTAAAGAACCTAATTTCTGCTAAAATTAACAATTATCCCAGTTAATAGTTTGTCAAGGGGCTTTCTTTGTTTCTTGTATATAATAGGTTCATGCTTCTCCACCCCTTTTAGAGTTGTAAAAGGAAAGTTACATGCCCCATTTTATATCTATTGTCTTGGTAATTCCCTAATTTCCCAGACAGGAGCTTTTGTAACTAGAGGATTGTGTAATAAATGCTTTCAGCAAAATGTAAAAAAAGATTATGAAGAATTTCGTATTTTGATTCCAATCCCTGTTTCTTTGCATTCTGTGACTATAATGTATTTATGTGTGGCAATTTAGAATTGATATCTGAAAGCAGAAACATCTGATATGAAAGTTATGCTTCTGTGTTTATCAGAACCTACAAGCACCAAATGAAAGCGGCAGTTTATTTTATTGTATTGTTCAATGGTAAGAATACAGGTTGTTTTTCTCTTTTATATGCAACACCTTCCTGTTATGGATTATCATATTTCTGCAAAACTTTATTGCGCATTCTTTTGCTCTGATTGGACAAATTTGAATCTCAGATTGGTCATTAGAATTTGCAGAACGCTTAGAATTTAGCATAGGGGTTTATTCATGCTACTTGGTTTTGAGTAAGCATGTATGGACAATTTGGCAGCATATGAAATCCCTTTTAAGGATATTATTCATATATCCCCTGCATTTTCCAGGGTCACCGGTGGAGGAATATGATTCTAATGGAATAGACAAAGAGACGATTCATGCGTCCAATTGTACACACAGCAAGGCCAACCCCTTGTATTGCCTTTTTTTTTTACTGTATTTTTGTTTTGCTTTATCTATTCTTTTTGATTTATTTCAAATCAGGGTGGACTACTTTCACCACTTGTGTAGGTGGAGTAAGTGAAGGGTTGCAATCTACATGGAGGCTGCAAGGATTATATCTTCCACCAACATGTTAGGTGGTTTCTTTCTGGGATTTGTTCATATAACTGGACAATGGTTATCTTATTCTCACCTTCTTCAAGGATCTCTTTTTGGATTTCTGTTGAAATTTGAAATGCTGAATAACAGTAAAAACATTTCTGTCATTATTTTTCAGCATTCAGTTGCTGCTAATGCTGAAATACCAGAGAGGGTTGTGGACCTGTGTAAAGTGGCAGGTGATGCCAACATTTCGGATCATCCTCTATGTTCATTTGGATTGTACTGCATGTTCAGTTGACCAAGTCAAATGAATATGAGGACAGGCTAAAATGAACTTGAAGATTGTTTGTTTATTTGATTTGAATTTGCAGTGTTAGCACCTGACTGATCAATATGCCAATTATCAAGCACCCAGATCAGGATTGCTTGTTTATTATTAAAGGGTCATTATATCCCACAGATTGCAATTGGTTCAGCAACGATTGGTTTTCTAGGCTGAATACTGCAACACTTGGAGATCTTGGAATCAGTGTTGTAAAAATCCCGTCGAGGCGCCGGCCGGCCGCCTAGCGTATCACCATAATTGGTGGTCTAGGCCGGTTAGGCGCTGACCGCCTAGGCCTTGCTGAATTGTACTTTGACGAATCGTAAAAAGTTTGAAAATCTATAGAAGTATATTCATCCCCTCTAGTCTTGTACTCTAACTCTACCGGGACTAACAAATTAGGTCATCGACTTTGATGATTTTACCCAATAGAGTCCTCTACTATTAGAATCAATGACTAAATTGATAAAATCAGTAAAGTCAAAGACTAAATTAAGTAAAACCATTATAGTCGAAGACTAACTTGGGTAAAACTATTAATAGTTGAAGACTAAATTGGGTATTAATAGAGGTTATAAATTACGAAGTTATTTTGATAGTGTTAATTGCCACGTAATGCGGTAATTAAGTAAATATGAGACCAATTAAAGCAAATAAACAACTCTTATTGATCACAGTGAAGGCCCTAAGTACAATCTAAGTGGTTGCTCTGAGTACCGACTGGCTGCGGTCGGGATTCTCTAATAACAACCTATCGATCGTCCAAAAGTCCCCCACACTGTCGCTATCGCGGGTATTTATAGCCGCGGGGCCGGAGACACAAATCCGGGCGTCCGGCATGCTGCCCACGTAGCAGCCACGTGTCGCCGTCCCGGGTGCCCTGCCTGTCAATGCGTGGAGCCGCCACGTGTTCCTCGTCAGCTCTCTCGCTAAAGGGCTACAGCTCGGTGGTCGACACTGCCACTCGGGTAAACTCGGTCGGATCCCGACCGGGTTCTTCACAAGAAACCCGACCTGTTACCTGCAAAGACAAGAAGAAAAGGATGAAGGCACACCGGTCGGGGTAACGCTATGTCGGTCGGGGCCCCCCAGCCCGGGCCTTTTTGACCGTCCGGGATAAAACGGGACGGGGTGAAGAAGTCCAACCGTCGGCCACCAAACCGACCGGCCAGCTGTCATTCCCTCCCTCGCCACGTGTTGACGACTGCCGGCCTCTGCGACTGCAATGGACGCCTCGAAGTCAGCAACGGTCATGTCGCGCAAGTGGGTTGATTTTCCGCCCAAACGCTCTCCTATAAATAGGCCCTTGAGGCCTTCATTTGAACTTTCCTCAATCTTCTGATTCAATCGGCACACTCAGAGAGTCCCGAGCGAGTACCTCAGCAGATCAACCGAGCAAATCAACTTCAAGCTTTTCAAAGTCTCCCTGATCGGTAAGCTCTCTACTTCCTTGCTTTGCTTTTTACTTTAAGCTTTGCATAGCGGTATGATAAGACTAACTTCAACCCAAACGTCCCGAGCCCTATACTAATCCCGACCGACCTTTAGGTAGAAAGAATGTCGGACTCGGACAGCCAGAACGTCTCGGTCGCAGACTACGACGACGAGGTCGAGCAGGTCAGCGAGGAGGTGGACATCATGTCCTATTCTCCAGAGGTTGCTCAACGACCGCAACAAATCCCCGAGCGAGCCCCCGAGCAAGAAAGGTCTTCAAGCTCGTCTGGGACGTCGGGGTCGAGCTCCAGCGGATCGGGGAGCTCGAGCGAAGAAAGCGGGGAAGCGTCCACGAGCGGACGAAATTCCCCGGCCGAAGGCGTTAGGGAAACGCCTACGAGGGTAATTGGGGATTACCCTCAGGTCGAGCCCCAAGAGGGCAATCGGGCAGACGATGCGGAGCTGGTTGAGGAAGACCCGGCCGGGCCGGCGGGGACGGGTTCGAGTTCCTCAACAACGAGAGCGTCGAGACCCAAATGAGTAAGCTGACCAAAGGCGAAGCAGCAAAAATCGCCGCAACACTCGCCGGTCGGGTCGAGTTCGACACCAGCAGGCAGCTCAGGAACATCATCGAGCGGCACCGGTGAAAGTGGCTCGGGATGCATTATGACTCCCTTATGGCCCCGATAACTTTCCCCTTCTCAGGCCTCCTCACCGCGTTCCTGGGTTACTACCAGGTGGTGCCCGGGCAGATCTGCCCGAACGCGCACCGGATGATCGCGTGCTTCCCGCAGATCTGCGGTTGACACAACTTGGCCTGCACCATGGAGCTCTTCAATTTCATCTACCAGGTGAAGGTGTTGGCGGCCACATACGGGGGCGGGTACCTAATGACCCAATCCCGGGCGGACATGTGCTCGATCGAGGGCATGCCCGGGAACAACCGGGGATGGAAGAACCGGCTATTCTCGGTGAAGTACGAGCAGTGGATCCTCCCGGTCGAGAGGGTCTGGAGTCAGCGCTTTTGAAAGCAAGTCATCCCAGCCGAGACTCCGGCCCTCAAGGACGCGGCTACTAAGATATCCGGTGAAATCTATGAATACCGGATCTTCAAAACGCCCGAGAGCTACGAGGCGGCCGACCTGCCCGAGCCGGTGTATGACGTGCCCGAAAAGTACAAGCCCGAGCCTAGGGGCGTAACGATTGCAAGGATGCCCGCTCGGGGCAAGCGGAAGGGAAAAGGTCTAACACTAACCATTCCTCCCGACCTTAACACCCCGAACGTGTTTTGAACCGATCTAACTGCCTTGTTCTTTTTGTTTTGCAGAAATGGCGGGTTTTGGAGATGAGGACGCCCCTCTACCCCCGGTGGCCAAGATCTCGCTTGGCAAGAAGAAGCCGAAGACCAAACCGGCCGGGGAGAAGGAGGTTCCGCTTGCCCGACCGATAGTCGCGCGTCGACCGTCACCACGCCCGAAGGCTACGTGGTGGATGCGTCTAAGGTCCTGGTCGCCCGGTGGCGGTCGGCAAAGGCAAAGAGAAGGTGGCGGAGAAGGACGTGGCCGGGAGTGGCGGCCTGAAACGCCGTCGGGAACAACGCAGCCCGAGCCCCTCGACCGGGGGGAACAAGGACGGCATGTCCATACTTGCCCGGATCGACAACGCCGGGCCGACCAAGGAAGACCTGGGGAAGCTGACCCCGACCCAGGTAGCCGAGAAGATCGGCTACGACCTGGCCGAAGTAAACACGTTTCCTTCTCCTAATTTTTCTGTGCAAGTGTCTTCAAACGGGCTAACCCCAACCATCTTTCGTATTGCAGATCTCCCGAGCGGCCCAATTCCTTCAACAACGGGCTCTGCAGGCCAATGAAGTCGAGGCCCTGAAGAAGATCGCCAACCGGCGATTACAGGAGATCCGGGACCTTGAGGCTGAGCTCAAGAAGACGAAGGCGGAGCAGGATCTCTCGGAGAAGGTCGCCCAACAGGCGATCGGGGAAGTGGCCGAGCTGAAGGCTCGTCAGAACGACCCGGACGAATTGGCCCGGTTGCTCTTCCGGGACAACGAGTCGGGCACCCGATTCCTCCGGTCCGTTCGGGGCACTGAGGTCGGGGAGAAGCTGGTGTGGACGTTTGGTCGGTGGGCATACAAAGCCGGCCAACGGAAGATGCGTGAACGAACGCAGAAGATCATGGAGCAAACGCTCGAAGGAGATGATCTTCAGCTGGTTCTAACCATGCTCCCTCAAGACATTCCCGACCCGGGGCCTCCGCCATTCGACCCGAAGGAGAAGATAACTGAGACGAGCGGAGCCGTAGCTACCCCGAGCGAAGCGGAGCCTTCGAAGAAGGGCGAGGCCGAGCCTGCGAAGAAGTAGAAATAGGTTTTACTTCTTTCTTGCATGTGACCTTGATCGGGAGCCCGGTCCCGAGTTTGTACCGGGCACCTTTTTGATGAATGAAATTCGTTTTTTTTTTGTCCAACTTGTATCATTCGTCCTTATTTGCTTTCAGTTATACATGCACCGAACATCCTAATGCTCGACCTCATGGCCTTATGGCCTGGTCATGCACTTTTCGACCCATTCAATGCTCGA